ATAACTAATTTGGATATTGTTATTATTTTGCCACCTAAGATTCACCCACTCAATGCTCGCCCCATGGCTCCAATAAATGTCTATATCTCTAATCAAGAAGTTGTTCAATCCCCGACAGCTACATGTTGTACTAAAAAAAAGAAAGTTAAGACTAAAATAAACATCTTGAAAGTTTATAGATCAAAATTAAATAAACTTGAAATTTTAGGGACCAAAATAGAATTTTGAAAGTTCAACGACCAAAATGAGACTGAAAGCTAATAGTTGTTATGCATATGAGTATTACTTTGAGGTCCCATTTGAAAAAAGTAATAATAACTATGAGACATTTTTTCTTGATACTTATGCGGGAGATAATCATGCACGAGAATGAGACCTTCAATTAGGATTAATTTTGTCAGTTTACCCTTCAAAATTCAAAAATTTATTGGACCCTATGGATGAGTTAGATACTTTATGCATCCAGTTGTGTGCACGGCATGAATAGGATAGGACTACTGTATTTTCTCATCATTTGTTAGCGTTTGATAGTTCTCATAAAGTTGGCTGGCCATTCACATTTTTTCTGGAGCAATCTTTCTAATTTTGCCATGAATCTTGAATCTTCTACTTTATTCCTGCTGCAGTGAGCTTTTGACCGGTGTTGTTCCATATACTGATCTTCGAACTGAAGCACAGGTTAGATATGTTGAATTAGTTAATTCTTTTACCAATATATATTAGAGATGAAACCCAGTAAACGTAAGTAATAAAAATGAGTAAAGGCTTGCAAAAGGTTTACTTTTATTCTATTTTATCATTTATATGATTCTACCATTCCATTGGATCTTGCAAGTACTTCTAATTGATGAGATCAGCTATTGATTAAGGAGAATGTAAATGGACTTGGAACGTTCAACATGTATTTATTAAAACGTATTTTTGTATACTATATTCAACACCCAAGTTACCATCTACATGCTTTTTGCCTTTTCTCTGTGATATACCGGAACTATTGGGAGCCTATCATTACTCCACCTCTAAAGAACCACCTTGTCCTCAAGGTAAAAGTCCGGAAATTGAGAAGCCATTTGAGTAGTAAGTTCCCAGGTTGTGTCACTTACTGAGGCATCTTTCTATTGGACCTGCAGTTCCAGCAAGGTATGATCAGCAGGAGAAGATCTAAGTCCCCAAATCGCCACTGGCTCCACATTTAAGGACAAGGTCTTCAGTGAGCTGCTTAGGTGATAAGAGTACGGTCACTGGATGGGTCTAACATCCTTACGTACGGGATTGGGATACATGAAAAATAGGATGGGTGTAGGAGTAATCCATTAGCGCCAACCAGTAAGCACTTGTTCAGTGTGTTCAGTAATGTGTAAGGTCTCAGAAAAAGAGAGATTTGGGTAATGCGTTCAGTAATGCATTAATGCCGAAGGCTGACAACCAAAGAGTGGGGTGTTCTTTTCAGTCTCATTATTTTGTAGCTTCTCTCCTCTTATAGGAATTTTTGGAGGTATTCCTCCACTACCACAGTTGGGAACCATTAGCAAACAGAATGTTTCTTTTTTTACTTCATAGTTTCTTTCATGCATTTTTGTAATTCCTTCGCTGCCTCCTCCTGTTGAATATACTATACACCTTGGCTTTTCTAATACAAAGTTCGTTTCCTTACAAGCTAAAAAGACACAAAACCATCTATTCATTTCTTGCCGCATGGCCCTCCGGTTCTGGAATTCGGTCTTTGGTGAATTTGGCTGGTCTGCTCCTTTCCCCAGCAACTTTACTGATTCTCATTGAGGATGTCTGTCTAAAGACAGCTAGATCTCTTGGTTAACTTCATAAGAGCTCCTATGTGGATCTTTTGGAATGAATGGACAAAAGAGCTTTCTTGAACAAAGATGAACCTTTTTACTTTTTGTGGGATTAGATTAGTTTTGCAGTATAATCTCAGCAATTCTTTTGATAAAACGATAGGTCTATAGCTTAGCTTCTACACTTGCTAGCCAAGTCCTTTCTTATCTTCCTTTGCATGGTCTTAGGCTTTCATCTTCCTCTTGTAGATTTTATTTTTCAAATTATTTCTATCGCAAAAAAAAAAAAAAGGAAGCAGAAGAAAGAAATAAAAGAAAGAGAAAAGCTTAGATTGATAACCATCGTCCTCTAGGGGATGGCGTAGTGGCAAGGACCTAGGCTTTGTGGTATCACCTACCATGAGGTCTTGTGAACAAGCCTTACCCTGATTATAAGGATGCACTAGTGTAAATCACACGACATTGATTCGGGAAAATATAAAAAAAAAAAAAAATAGATTGACAACCATTATTCAACTGGAAATTTCTATTGCCCCATGATGTGGGGGCATTGGCATATCACAACTTTCTTATCACATTTCATATCTATATTTAGCAGTGATGCATCAAAATATTCTGTTTATCTTGCCTTGTTTAAAGTATTTGATGGCTAGATGAATGGTATGAGTTTTCAATGGGCAGGCGCACACTGTACTGGAAATGAATTATACAGAGCAGCTGCTTACAGCAGCTATTGTTTCAGGTGGCTTGCGGCCAGCTCTTCCTGGTTTGGAGTCTGGCACACCATCAAGGTTTCTGTCACTTATTCGGAGGTGCTGGGATGCAAATCCTAAAAATAGACCGTCCTTTTCTGATATAGTCATGGATTTGGAGTCAATTTGGGAGGACAACAAGGGTTTAGAATCTGTCACCCCTGTACATCCTGATTTGTGTGGTAGACTTTGTGATACTAATAAAAATGGTTACGCGTATCGAGAAGATATTAATTGGTCGAATCAGGGAGAACATTTTTCTCGACAGGCTTCTGATGCAAATAGGTGTGCTGTGAATGTCTGGCCTGATTCCTCAACTGCTGATTTGGCATACCACCCAATACTTTCATGCGGATCCTTTTCAACCTGTGGGAGAAGGGAGACCATGGAGGATTCACATTTCCTTTTGCCGCACATGTGCAATGAAGAGGACATCCATGTGTTTGGGATCTTTGATGGTCATAGAGGTTTGTAATTGTAAACTCTTTTAACTACTATTGAAACACCTCAGACTAAATTGGAGGAGGATGCGACCATCATGAATTCACAATACCCTGTTGCTTTAGTGAGAATTCCACATATATTTGTTTGAATAATGCTTTCTTTAAGAACCTATGAGAAATTGTTGTTAGAAATAGATTGAATGTAAAATTTCCCCCAGTAAAATCTCCTCGAAATCTTTTGTCCGAATTCCTTTTTGTTCAAAATATTTATTTTGTTCTGCTACTAACTATAGATTTGGTTATGAAGAGTTCTCTGTTGAATTCCTGCATTAGTAGTTAGAATATTGTATAGTAATTAATGCACAAGAGAAATAGTATTGAAATGGAAAATAAAATGAAATGTTAGCATATGTAACATGGTATCGATACAAGTGATGAAGTTCACCTTAGAAACCTGGCCAAAGCTCTTCTCCACTTGGTGCATCCTTTTGCAGTAATGGTGGTGAAGATGCTGATTTCTCTTCCTTGGTTCTTCTTCTTCTTAAAACTTTGGTGGAATAGGTTTGACACTTTTTGGAGGAGAAGCCTTGGCTAATCATAAATGCAATCTAATGTCTTCCTTAGAAAGTGTCAGCTAGTGAGAAATCTAGTCTCTTCCTTACAAGATGTTGAGAGAGACTTGAAGGATTCATCGGTTATACTGTCTATGTTCAGTCTTCTTGGTGTAACTTAAAAATTTTTGGAAATAATCTCTCTTCTATTACACCCAATTGAGAGCCTCTTTATGCTTCGTTACCAGGTTTTTTTATGGGACCTTCTCCCTTTATTTATATATTTCATTCTTTGAATGAAAGTTGTTTTTTAGAGACAACATATTTTACACACCATGTAGATCCAATGAAAGAGTTGTGATTGATGCGTAGTGGCTGAACATGATAAGTTGATAGGCCTGCAAAGTAATTTATTCGTGCTTGAGAAGGAGATCAAAGTTGGAAGGGGATAAATTATCTACAAAACAATTATAAGCATGTACGGAGGGAAGTTAGTTTGGAACCAAATATTTGACGTGAGAGAATTGAATTTGTTAGAATTAGCAAAGTAGTGGAACAAAAGGAAAAGAAGGCAGTTCTTGAGCGGGGTCTGAAAGTTTCTTTTTTTCCCTTTTTGGGGATAAGATACCGAGAATACATTAAGAAGTAACAAAGCAACAGCCTAAGGGCAAGGGGTTGAGACTACAAAAGAAACACCTCTTAAGTGAAATTATGAGGAGCTGGCTGATCAAATCAAATATACAATTCCTTGATTTTGACCTTGAGGACATGGTGACTACTTTGGGTTGGAGTATTAATATATAGGTCCTGATACAATTTACTTATCCTAGCAAGTGGAAATTGGATTGGAACACTGTTTTAAAAAGGCATGCACCAAGTTGTTACCTTATTTTATTTTTTAAAAAGAAATAAAATATATGTTCTAAAACCTTCATTTCTCTAAATAATCTCTTACAAAAATTCCGATTTTGTAACTTTTCAATATCTTTTTATCCATAATACTACAGTTTTCCAAACATAAATATCTTTTTATATTTTTTTACAAGTGTGTCAAATGCTATAGCTTAAATGCATGCAGGTGCAGCAGCTGCTGAGTTTTCAGCTCGAGCTATTCCTGGATTCTTGAGAAACTCTTGTTCCACAAGCAGGTTTCCATTCTTTCTTTTAATATTTTCCATTTCTCACCTTTCAAAATTTTTCTTTTTATTTATGATGATTTAATCTTCTACGTGCAGTCCTGCAGATGCATTAGTGGAAACATTTGTAAAAACGGATATCGAGTTTAGAAAAGAACTCGATTTCTTTCGCCAATCCAAGAAAGTAAAACAGAAAGACTGGCATCCTGGTTGCACTGCTGTTGTTGCTCTAATTGTTAGAGACAGGCTTTTTGTTGCCAATGCTGGTGATTGCAGGACCATATTGTGTCGGGCTGGCAATCCCATTGTTTTAAGTAAGGTGGGTTTCGTGTGTGTGTGTTTTTTTTCTTCTTTTTTTTTGCTCTTTTTAATATTTTTATTATCTTGTGTTTTTAACGTATCTGAGGTAATTGACATTGTCTATCAGGATCATGTCGCTAGTTGTCTCGAGGAGCGAGAGCGCGTCATCAGTGCTGGAGGACAGGTCACGTGGCTAGTTGATACATGGAGGGTTGGTCCAGCCGCTCTTCAGGTCTCTCTTTTCAACTTTATGAAAACTGATATGTTAAAATGCATGGAAACAGGATGTTGTCTGTCAAGTTGATGATAAATATTATCTGCTAGAATTTTAGATTCAGGATTTAGAGTGGTAAGGAGTTTTTAGTTTGTTTGAATCTATGAAATGTCATTTCTTGTCTAATTAATATGAGATTAATAGTTCACTTGTCGGATGAATTGAATTAATATCTGAGTCCAACGGAGAGTGATAATAACATTTACAGAAATATTAAATATGCCTCAACTTATCAATTTAGATTTTTGGGTCTAGTAGCAATTTTAACAGGATTATTCAATGTACCAATCACCCATTACATAGATGTGGACATTCACATGTTTATTTTGGAATCTTACCTGTCACCATCTAGTTATTTCTATCTTGAAAATCATTGTTATGAAATGCAACTCCATGCTTGTTGGTGGAATTTTACAACGCTAATTTTTATCGGTTGTACATTTTTAGTAACACTAATTATCATATAAGTAAAGAAACACCTAATAACGATATGAACCATGAGTCTTAGTCATACTAATAAAAGGAAAGTACGAAGGTTTGATAGTCTCTCAAGATGACTATCTCTTCCCGATTCTCAAGTAATAAAAAATTTCCAATTTTCGTAGCTTTCATTATTCATATTCAACCTTTCCTAACCAACTCATTGTCTAATATCTACAATCCTAAGAATATAGTTATTATAAACACATTCTCTCTTTTCAGGTGCCAATATAGTACATCTTTATAAGGATAAGATTGTTTGCAGAATACTTGGTCTTTTTTTGTTTCTTATGAAATTATGTTTTCTATTGATTCTTCAAGCTTTAACAGGTCACTCGGTCAATTGGCGATGATGATCTGAAGCCAGCTGTAACTGCAGAACCTGAGATAACAGAAACTGTTTTGTCATCACAGGATGATTACCTGGTAAATTTGGTTTTCATTTTTCAAGTTCTGTTTCATTTCAAAGTGAGAGAGAGGGATTGAGATGGCATAAAACTGGTATGCTATGCACACCTTGATAAATAATACACTAGCTAGTGGCTTAGGTCAGTGACTTCAATTTCAACTTATGAAATGAGCAATGTTAGGCATGATCGAAATAGATGCTATTGGTCGATCGAACAATTCAGCTGTTCTTCATAGCCTATACTTCATCCATTTTTCTTGATCATGAGACCTTGAGATGTTGCTTATCAGGTTATGGCTAGTGATGGACTATGGGATGTCCTCAGCAACTCTGAGGTAGTTAGTATAATCAGAGACACTGTCAAAGAACCGGGAATGTGCTCAAAGCGACTCGCAACAGAAGCTGCAGCCCGTGGCAGCAACGATAACATCACGGTAATTGTTGTATTTTTGCATCCAGTATCTACAGTAGAGAGGATTTATTAAGTGGAGTAATATAGGGTGTCTCTTCTCTTCTACATACCATACAGAAAAGGGTATGTCTGTTTCTAACACATTCCTTCCCAAAGGAATGTGATATGGCATTTCTGAAGTATTCATTGTTCATAACAAGATATCGTGAGTTATATATATATATATATATATATATATATATATATCTATACTATATTAAAAAGGTAAAAAGGTAGGAGGTAGGAAAAACATTTTTGGACACTTTTGCCCTTTACTAAATTTACAAATTACAAATTATACCATTAATATATTATTACAAATATTAAATTAATTATTAATTATTAATTATCCATACTATAAATGCATGGAATATAAAAGGTTAGAATGCAAAAAGTTTTCCAACAACATAAAATTAATTTTTTCTTTAATTAAAATTTAATTAAAATTCATACTAGAATTTCAAGAGTTTTAGAATTTGAAAGGCTTTTGTAACGTTTTATTCTCTACTACTATAAAAATAGGTTTTCTTCTACATGTTTTTCACAAGTTTCAATACTTTTTTATTCTTAGTTCCTTCAAACATCTCTCAAAGATGATTCAATCATGAAAACATCTCGAGATATTTGTGACATATTCATCAAGTTGTAAGGGAGGCATATGTTGAATCTACATACCTCGAATACTAGGTTTGTGACATTACCATTCCACAATTTTACAAAGTTGAATAATAGTATATGTCAAGCAATCTTCAAGAATGAGCATATTTACTCTAAAAGATGAGTGTATAGTAAGTATTTGGATTTTTTTTTTGTTACTATTGTTATTTTTCTAATTAGTGTGTTTTTTATTTGGAATGTTTCTTTTTTGAGCAATTTTATTTAGAATATTTGTTTAAAATATAGATAATTACAAGCTCGTTGAAAAAAAAAACAATCATAGAAGTCAATACATAAAAAAATGTTTAATTAATAAATTAATTATAAACAATAATTTGTATAGAATCTTTGTGGAATATAAACTTTTGGTCATTTTATTTTCTAATAATATAATTTGAAGAATTTTTCTTTAATAATTTTAATTATAATATAAAATTAAATCAATAAAATAATTTATATTTAGTTAAAAAATTCAACAAAATGTTAGCTTTAAACAAATATTTAATAAACAAGAAAAATATTAAAAAAATAAAATAAAGGACCCATATTAGGTTGAAATAATTTAAAAATAAAAATATTAAAATATCTATTTACTTTTTTATTAATATATAATTTTTTCCTTTACTTTTAATTTTTTTATTTACAAAATATATCATTAATAATTAATTATAAATAGTACATTTTATTATTAGTAATTAGCTGTCAATAATAATAAATATATATAAAAATTAATCTTAATTATTTTTAAAAATAATTATACTTAAAATATTTTACGTGAAATTATATAAAATTTAAGTTATCTTACAATTAAAAAAAAAATTTACATGCATTGCATGTGGTAATACACTAGTATATATATATGCGCCTGTGTGTATGCATGTAGAAACGCCCTTGAAAACATAATTACTTATTTATTTTTTAAATTAATAGTGTTGCATTATTTAATAGCACAACTATTGAATAAATTTTATTTTATGTATTAATGCGATTACAAGGTAAATTTTATGATTAGTTGATAAACGAAGTTAGGACTCTTTGTTTAGACTTTAGGAAATTTATCGTGTGGTTTAAAAATATTTCAAATAAACTAGTGAGAATTTCAAAAGTAAAAACTAGTATAGATTAATAAAATATATTATTTATGGTGGGATGGAAATTGGAAGATTTTCACTGTAAATAAAGGGAAAAAATGTAAAAAGAAGAAAAAAAAAAACTAAGAATATTTGGAAGGTTCCTCATGAAAATTTTAAAACTCTTTTTCAAAAGTATTTTTTAGGGGTTTTTTCTCAAGATTTTTTCATCCTCAATAAACGTTGATTTTTTTAAATATTATGAAGAAAATATATATATTAAATTAATTAAAATAAAATCATGTAACTTGTAAACAACTCAATAGTTATTTAAATATTTGATTGATTATTTTATATTCTACTATTATATTTATTTTATAAATTAAAATAGTTATATAATATTATTAATATATATTACATGGAAAAAGAAAAGGATTTAAAAGAATTGGCCCTAGCCACCCTCGGCTCACATAGAAATAAATTAGAGAAATTGGAGTAGATGTCTTGAAAATGGCCCAACTAATATTCATTTTGTTTTGTCTAATCGTGTGTAAATTTGCTAACCTTTTACCTTTTTTACTCGATTATAATTTTAAAATTAAAATAACTTTTTTCTCCACTATCTCTCCTATATTCTAATAGTTTTTTTTATTTATTTACTTTTTTTTTTTTTGCCTCTCCTAAATTTAACTTCCTTTATTCGTTTTACTTGCAATATCATTGCTTTCATCTTTAATTTTTTTTTTCATCATCTTCAATCTTCATCATACTTTTCTTTTAGACACAGTTGCTGTGACAAAATTCTACTTAGTAACTTTTTTTTTGTACGGTGGCCAAAAGGAATGTTTGCACTTATTTCTTTCAAAGGTATTGATATTTTGATTGATTATCTGATTGCTTGATTGTCGAAACAATTTCATTTTGTCATGGGTAAAAAGTAACACGGTTTGATGTAAGGTTTTAAAGGTTGATGTCGATGAAAATGTTGAGATCTCAATTTGATGGAAATATCGATAAAATGTCGATGTCGATGGATATTTTTGTAAAAGTTAGAGAAATTAAAAAATCATAAAAAATATTTAAATTAACAAATAAACATTTTTCGATTTCTAAATAAGTTAAAAATGATTAATATTAATACTATGTATATATTAGTAACATTTTGTTGATATTTTTCATATTTTATCGATTTTTTTGTACTATTATGGAAATGTTGATTTACCTCTCATGTCGATGTTGAACTTATGGATATATGGACATATCGATAGGAAATGTCAATGTGTTGACGGATGTTTAATATCAATATAATTGTAGCATAATTTTAATATGGTCCATATGATTTTAAAAGAATTTAATTCCTATAATTTCAAAATTTTCAATTTTGTCCCATACATTGGTGTGGTCAAAATTATCATTGTTTTTATATATTGGCACTTTTTTTTACATGACTATGTGTTGATATTTTATATTGGGATAATTTTTTGTTAGTTGACTAAAGCATAAATACTTTAATATGTAGTTTTTTTATGGTAGATAAATAACAGTTTAGGAATGATATATTTGTGAAGTATAATCCAAGCATGAACACCCCCTTCGAAATTTAATCGGAGTATAGTTCAATTGGTTAAAATACTTATTTCTTTCTGATCAAGAGATCGGGAGTTTGAATTATTACCCCTAGGAACGTCCATTTTACATGTGGGCCCCATCTTTGAGGATACCCGCCTAATTAAATGGGGTGGGTAATTCTCGTATAGATTCTCCACCCGAGGAAAGTTTTTTCCCACCACCTAAACGTGGACGAGAATGAGAATATATTTATCATCCCCGTTCTCTGCCCCTCGTCATTTTTTTTAATATTTATATATACACACATGTACAAACTAAAATAATTATATTATCCTCTTTATATATACATATACTAAGAAAAAATCATGTATTCTTCCCTATCCAATATATATGTAATTGGGAGAAATTAGACTTTGTAAATAAAGTTTTATCTTTAGAAATTTAATTTATTTAGGAAAAAAATATTCATTGAAAAGTTTTTAAAAAATAAAAAAGAAAAATTGGGAAATTTTTCATCGAATTCCAAAGAAGAACTACATTATTATTTTCACACAATATCTAATATCCTACGAGTAAGAAATAATTAATGGATCCTCTGTTGTTATCAGAAATAATTAATAGATACTTCTAATCAACTTTATTTCATTAATATCACAAATATCCCTTCCCCAAATCTCTCATATTTTCCATATTTACATTCCTATTATCTTCTCTCTTGTAGTTACCATTTTTAAAATCCAAACCCTAAAATCAATTAACAACTTAATGTCCATATCTTG